CGTTACTATGATGCACATAAATGGAGCGTCATAAATCATACAAATTTACATTATAAATCGTGTAAATTTATGAGACATGCCATGCAATATTCCATATATTGTATGCAACTTTCCACCTTTGTTTGCAACATTTCTTGTAAGCTGCTAGTTTACGTGAAAAGGAAGCTTACATACATGAATGTTTGCATGCATGGATGTTTACATCACCAGTAAAATTAAGAATTTTTTGGTGTGTAGCTTTTGAGCTACATTGTTGTACAGAACGTCTGATTGATTCGTTCACGTCAATATATTTGATGTTTCTGTTCAATATGACGGAAATGAACGCTTATGCTGAAGTAGTGTTCTACTCTAGGTTGTCTAGTACATGTGTTAACTAGCAACCGCATGTACTAAATACCGGCGTGAAAAATATTATCGGCAGTGTGACGGCCATCGGTCACCAGAACGTCGCCGACATCTCGTTTGCCGTATGCCAGAAAATACCGGTGGTGACGGCGTGGTTTGGCGGCGCTCAGCTCTAATCGAGAATCGTACGAACGCTGAAAATGATCATGAAAGTATTGGTTCTCCGGAGTCATTCATCAACGTCCGTACTCTCTATTTATGCTCACATTGCTTGCTCGTCGACTTTTATGAGGTAGTTGCCATCGTCGGGTTTGAATGGTTATTGCTGGTTATAACGGCTCGCTGGTTTCACGTTGTATTTGGATATCTTGGATCTCTATGGTGCAACAACAGCTATTGTAAAAATTGGCATGAGCCCTTGATCATAAGTTGTGCGTTGTGATATGAGAGATTTTACGGCTACCTTACACAGCCGTATTTGCTTCTTGAGCAGAAAATCGTAGGATCAAACACAGGCCCCATCATATTAAGGAGATTTATAGTCACAATGCTTGCTCATCGTGTATTTTTCAACGTCATCGTCGTCGTCGGTTCCGGGTTTGAATGATTACAGCAAAAACTCGATCATAAGTGGAGTGATGTGATATAAAGATCTCGGTGGCCTTAGAGCGACCGGTTTTGCTTACAGAGTAGAAAATCATGGGTTCTTGATAATTTCATTTAAGATTCGTAAGTCACTTTATTTCTTAACTTAAACCCATCATTACAATTCAGCGTACCGTTTGCCAAAACGAACCCTGCTGCAAACTCGATCCTTTTTTCCAACATCCCAATAATTTCTCATGGAAGTTCAGATGATTTCTTGGTTTCCAACAAAGCAAGTATCATGTCAATGCATTCCTACCCATTCCTTATTTGACCTGCATTTGAACATGATCAGCGCTGGTAGGGTAGAGCACTACTTCGTCATAAGGGACCCATCTCCGTCATGTGCCATTTTCGTTTAAATAGAGGAAATGGCTCTAATGTTGGCCTATGGATGTAAGATTGGGCCCATCGCTTAAAACCTGCTATTTATTAATTTTATCTAGATGAACGTGCATTGGGACGGTACTAATGGATAGTTTTGGTCGCTATTGTAAATTTAGTCGATTGCTGAATTTATGTATGGGCCCAAATTAAGGGCATTTAGGCCTACATTACATATTACATCCATTTTCCTTATATTGCCTTTGTTCCTCCACTACTGGCTCACCTGCCTTATATAAAAAAGTGTATTTTCAATTTTTTTTTAAATTAAAAAAAACTCATGAAATATGCAAACTTTTGAAATATTTAAAACCTAGAAACTTGAAAAGCTTTTGGTCAAATTTTAAAGCTTCTTGTTGCCAGCTTTTCTATGTTATTTTTACACAGAAAACTATTCAAAATATCTCATATATTGTTTCGTGTGTTTAAATTACATAAAAATAGTACTAGCAAAGTGAAAATAAATTTGGCTAAACGTTTTTGATCTACAATTGTTTAAAAATTCAAAAAAATCGCATGGTTTTAGGTTTTTTTTTTCCTGCTTTCAATCAAATTAAAGATATGCCTTTTGAGATCGATGTGTTTTTATAACTTTTCATAGTTGAAGATGCATTTTTTTTTCGGTGATCATCTCTTTTGACAAGTGGTGGCGGGGGGAATACCCCTCACCATCCCACTCCACCGGGGAGTTTGGTAAAGAGAGATGATAAAACCGATTTGTACCATCCTAAAGTTGTCCTTGCTCGCTTTCTACTCTCCATGTGCAATTTTCACACAGCCGTACTCTAACGGAACTATCAATTCTATACTTTCATCTCCTTATCTCTCGTATACTTTAGTCTGTTATTTGAAATTAGTATCTTCAACTTTGTAAATCGTTGACTTCACACAGAAGTAATACTAAACAAATAGTCAAAAAAAAAACTTTTCTTGTTTTTTTTTCGCACTCTCTACTAAAAAAAAAACCGTGTTTGTTTTTTCCAGAAACAATTTGTTTTGCTCTACAACTTTGTCTCAGTTTTCATGCTACAATTTATTGTAAAATGACATAGACGCCATTTTGAAGAAAATAAATACAAGATCCAAAATTTTTAGCAAAAATGTGAACTATTGCCTATAACAACTATGCAAAGTGTTATTCAAGGGGAAGGTCGATTTTTCCCGATTCGTCATTTGGTGTGAAACTGAGCATCAAATTATTTGCTGACGAGTTAAATTAAGAATGATTTAAAATAAATATTACGAGGATGTCGAACTACAGGTTTCAGGGAACTATGTCGAAGTGAATTGACGTTTGATGAAGGTTTGCCGAACCCTACTGCCTATTATAAAGTTTTTACTAAATAACCAGTTTTTATACATTGAGGGTGTATGTTAGTCCCAACCATCTTATGTTCGTTATCTGTATAATTGCAGCTCAACTAGCAATTTGGATTTTATGAGACTTCTGTAGACTGGAAATGTCACTTGGAAGGTGATCTAACAATAACGGACTAGCAACCGCAGGCGGTCAATCATGCTCATGCTCAAAATGTTGAGTAAGGATGCATTCTTACGATACGAAAATATTGCGCTTGATGAAAAATAACGAGAAATATCAACGATCAAATACACCACAAGCGATCAAATCAACCCCGTTTTACGGTACTAATTTTTCTGATTTTTTTTTATGTAGACCTAACTGGCGAAAAAAAAAATACATTAAAGCAGACTTCAATTTATTTTAAAGTTTACTTCTAACTTTCGTCTAGATTGCAAGATTTGCGATAAACTTATTGTCATGTGGATGTGGATTGCAATAACATGATTTCGTTTAACCACAGTCGTCGTTTGTATCGATTGCTGTTGTTTTTGTCTGCATTTAAGAGACTTTCAGTCGTTGGCAGTATCGATTATTGTAAAATTCCTTAAATTTTTTTCTATGTTATTTTATTTTAAGAATGAGTGTTGAATATTTCTTGCACTTTGGGCTGATCTCCAAAACATTCCCACTTTGGAGATATGAAAATTTTATCAAAGTTATAATTATGCAGCCATTTCATAGCAAAACGATATAGTGGTTCTCAGAATCTTATAAAAATTAGTAGTTTGGTTCCTTATCGCAAAACATAACACCCGTATTTTTTTTATTTTGTCATAACTGTGAACATTTCCGTGTTAGGGCGGTCCAATTTTTTTTTTTTGAAAAATGACTTTTTTATGTTTAGTTTTTGAACCACTAAGTCGATTTCAAATATGAAAAATCAAATGAAATATAATTAAAAACACTTACTAGGAAAAATAAATGATATTAATAAGATTTTGTATTGAAAAACATTGATTGTATTTGTTTTTATGGTTTTCATGGTTTGTAGATAGAGACCGCAATAGGTTTTTATATTTTCCCTTGAAAATTTTTGCTGTTTTACACATTATATCTTAAAATCAGCGATATGTTTTTTTTTTTCGTTTTGAGTTGTATATTTTTTTAAAGTTATCAAGTTTTGAGTTTTCACTCAATACTCCTGTGAAACTAGACTACATTTTTGAAAAACAAATCGATTTTCGGAGCACCCCAACATGGAAATGGTCACCCTAATGACAAAATAAAAAAAATATACGGGTCTAATAGTTTGCGATAAGGAACAAAACTATCAATTTTTATCTGAGAACTACTATATCGTTTTGCTATGGACTGGCCGTATAAATGCTATGTTTCACTAATCTTGAAAATATAACAGAGTGTACGGTTTTTAGAATAATTTTCAAGTGGGTTCACGAACATTTCTTAAATTTTATTCAACTATTTTGGAAAATTCGATTTTTCCACCCAAAAAATTATCCATCCACTTTGAGATCATAAGTTTTATAATAAGAAAAGAGACCGTGTTTCTCTGAAATTTGTTGGTCTTAGAGGTTTTTTTGTATGAAATCAATCCTCTATATAATCCCCTCAACAGACTAATCAAAAACTAGTTACCTCTAGTGACGTACATTGTTCCGGAACAACAGTATTTGACTTATGATTTTGATTGTCTTAAACTGTTTCTCTTTAAACTAAGCTTTCATTACCGGAGCAATATTAGAATGAAATTCACTTGCATATTGCGGCACGCGAAAAAAAAAAAGAATTCAAAACCGCAACAACCGGATTGAATGCGGAAAGCGGCACCGGAATGGAGTCTATTCATGCCGAGAACCGGCTACGGTTGGTGGCGGCATCAAGTAATAAGTAACACTATGAACACATTGCCTGATGGCAAACGATTGGCTGTGCACCACGGCCAAGATTTATGTGATCACGAGCTAGCTGTTTCGAGCAGAACTAGCAACATCATGCAGTCAGCTAGCCGGAGCATCACGCCAACCACCATCAACCATAGCTCGTAGCCGATGTTGTTGTGGGAGAGAAGGAGGCTGCGAGAATTAAAGCAATTTTCAACAATGTTCTTGTGCGACTCGTCGTTTAATCTTGCCTTCCCCCCGCCAACATAGGTACCTACCGAGGCTTAAGGGATCTCCATCGCGCCAGGGAGTTCATTGTACGCGGCAAAGATCTGAACCCTCTAATCCAGCGGTAAAACGAAAGGCGTAACCGAACTGATATGTGATTCTCCTCTACTTGTTTCTCCCTCTCTTTATAGGATCTGCCACGATATTCACCAAAGAACCCACCGTGCGGATACAATGTCTTTCGGGTTCGATGCTGATCACGATCAAGGATGCACCCGCTAACCTCAACGGTCAGTTCAGTGGGATGGTGTATCCGAAGGGATTGGCGAAAAACTCAACCTGCCTTACCGAGTACCGGGATCAGGAGGGACCGCTGCGCTACAAATTGCCCCTCAAGAGCTGTAACACGATGCCCATCGAAACGGTAAGTTTCCCATTATATTGCAAGAATGTCGTCGTAGTTACGTGGAGTGATGTGAGGTAATGAGATTTTACGGTGAGACTCTGACCTCAGCAAAAGTTCCTACAGATGTTTGCTTGCTGTGTGTTTCGTAATACGAACTTTGTTCTTCAACCAAGAGTCAAGAACGAGCACTTCTCCCTGTTATTCTGCTGACTAAGAAAACCGGTTCGGCAGGGTTCACTCCATATTTTGAATGTCATAGCCAATGGCTATACTTCCTTTTTCGTGCAAACTTAGTGGGTGCTTGAACATTATTCAGTGTTGAGCGAGGGAGAAAAAAGTCTTTATGTCAGAACCCGGACTTGAAGCGGAACGTATCGGTCGAGCTCGTGGGTTCAAAACAATGTGGCTTGTTAATTGCTAAAACTACCACTACTGTTGAAACGGTGCAACTCCGCCATGGTATCGACACATTTGGAACCGGTTTGAAGAGGCGTGTGTTGCCGATCAGCATTGAAAATGATAAAACCTTTTTTTCGAGGTCGAGCCCAGTGGAACGTTCAACACTTTGGAGCGCATTAGAAGATGAATCAACAATCAAATGCTGGTATGCAAATGCACAAAGCGCATCGTTTCAAGGTTGTTTGTCAATATTGAGACGTTCGAATATTTTAGAGGTGACTCAACTGTTGGAAAACGTCCCTTGGAATATTCGATTCTCTTACTTCATACCCTGACAAACGACCTTGCCAACGCAGTTCAAATAACCTTGGTGGAATAGAAGAAAACGTGTCGGTTGTTTACACGAATATAATTATCAACCAACGCATTCGTTGTGCAATTCAAGGGAATGCACTTGTCACGAGCCAGAGAGCTCCGGCTTCGTTGCAAATGATAGCACCGCTTCCGAATACCAAGCTCAGCAACTGGTTTCAGATCAACCGCACACGATCAAATTTTTCTTTTCACAACTCTGCCAGGAAAAACACACATTTTCAGCCCAGCATACGAACGGCATTTGCTTCATCCGAGCTTTTAGCATCATCGACAGATGGAGTTGCGAATCCGTATAGGTAATTGATACCGACCGAAGCAATGAGCTGTGTACGATGATGTCCAGTCTAAAAAAAAAGGTTGAAACGAGTGGGTATTGGAATTCTTTCGCTGGAAAACCGTGAAATGAGTCTCTTTGTTTGCACTTTCTGCCGCCTGCCGGCTGTATCAACGCAAACTGCAGCTCACCAAGTGGTTATAGAGGAGTAATCCTACGTAAAACATGTGCTGAACTTCATACCATTGGCTATGTAACGGAGGAGTATATGGAGATCTCATTCCAGGGAGAGAGAGAAAGATTGCAAACGAAGAAAAGTAAGATATGCGACCTCCCGCTCGTTTGTGCAAAGACCAAAGCTTGTTTTTCATCGGCCCCCAGACGCGTCATGCAGGTATGTAAATAAATTACAATTTCACCATTTGTTTCTCTTCCTCAAAGTGGACCTGGTCCATGGACAAACGATGATGGTGCGGTCGATGGTGGTGCAAAATGTTTTGCGAGACATGATGTTTGACGATTGTCATCGTTGGCGAATGCAAGAAATTGTGTGTGTGTGTGTGTATGTGAAAATTTATTCAAATCGCATCTGGGGGCTGTTATGAAACGGATAGCCTTGTCTGAGATTGATGTCACGTCTTTGTGGTACCAGCCGTAATAAAATTACGCGGGATGGATTGAAATTGTCTGGCAGCTTGACAAAGTACACCAGGGTGTAATCATTCTTTCATACAAGATGCGACAAGTGTAATCTACACTTATTACATAACATTCAACCAATCAGTTCAATAAAACGTATTTTGCAACGTTTACATTATTATCGTTTTAAGCACTTTTAACTTTACATTAAATTATCGGTAATGTTTCAATATTAACGTCAAAGATGGATTGATTCAAATATAACGTTAGTTTGAATGCGTAAGCTAAAGTATTAGAAAAAAAACAAGATTTTGGTCGTATAACACAGACTCAATTCTGTTTTATATGTAATTTTTTTCGTTCTGAGTAAATCGACGAGTCGATCAAATTTCACCCCCTACGAATTCGATGAAACTTTGCATTATTGTTCGCTAGGGGCAATAAACCAAGTTTGTGCTGGAACTCAGCCATTTTCACTCGTGCCCAATTTTTCAAATAAAAGTCTCTTTAATAAATAAATCCAAATCAAAAAATCACAGCACGAAAACGGCTCATCTAATGGAAATTACTTATGAGACAAAGTTGTAGGAAACCGGATTGCGTTTTCAGAAAACAAAAAAATAAGTAAATATTTGGTAAAAACATTGATAAAAACTACAATAGCAAAATAAATGCGTTTTTTTTTTAAAGATTGGGCTAATCAAAAATGTTATCTTTTCGGATATATTACCTAATATAAATATATACCTAATTAAATTATTGTGCATGACTTATTAAATTTCACCAGATTTTCTGGCTTTATCAAGGGAAACTGAAACTTCTTGTACGTCGCGCTCATGCCTCTTACACCAGACTACCACGGTTATAAAGTAATGAGTGTTTATCCTGTAGCACACACGATTTCTCTGGTTTTTTTTTTCAACTAGGCTTTTATTGTTTTTTCGAAGCTATTGGATTCCTTGCTTGTTCCGGATGTCCCAATTTTCTGTTTCATTCGTCTACCTAAATTTATAAATAAATACAAATGAGAATTTTAATTTTTCTAGAGCATTTTCCTGAAATTAAAAAGAAGATCACTAAACGACAGTGAAATTCAGCGAAATTGATAGAAGCTCAAGAAACTTACTTTAGATTTGTTTACTATCCACAGATCTTGAAGTATTTTCAATGCCTAATTTTCATTTGAATTTTCTCTAGAATCTCCTTAGAATCATTAAAAAAAAAAGAATATGGATTGTTATGCTTTCTCATCCAATAAACACGTTTTATTTTAGTTGAAGATGCTAATTTAAAATAACAGACTAAAGTGGTCATTTTTATACGATAGATGAGGAGATGAAACTATAGAATTGATAGTTCCTTTAGAACTCACCAGTAGGATCAATTTCCATGTACAGTTTAAAATCGTCAGCATATATGAGCACATTTAGGCGGTTTAACACAAACTTCACGTCGACCATTATGCTGGGTTTCTTCCATACTCCACTGTCGTATATCAAATGATAGTGAGTGACTCAATTGACAGTGACGATGAGCTTCGAATGAGAAAGGGGCTCTTCAAGTTATGGTCATGAGAGGAGTATTTTTGCATATTTTTTTTCATAAATATCTAAAGCTATGCAGTACCCAAGTAGCATTTCTTGTTTTATTGCACTCTATTAGTGGTTTTTGAGATCAATTTTATAAAACCGTCAATAAAATTAATAGCTCCAGCACAACCTTTTGATAACCGCTATAAGATCGTCTTCCAGCTTTGTGGACCACTCTTGATAAGGTTTATAAAGCATGTTTGAGGATCACAATAAAGCTGTCTTAAAACCTTTTGTAAGAAAGCCCCATACTCTACAAAAGGTTCTCATAGCCTCTTTAAGAGTAATATTGTATCCAAAAAAATTTTTTTTAATTTTTGGTGAAAATTAGCTTGTTGTTGTTCTGTTCTGCTGAAACTGTTTAGCTATAAAAATAAGTTTGAGTGTTGGTGTCAAGATCACCATGCAATCACCAATTCATGGCGACATTAGTGAAAATCTTAAAGAAAATATATGACTTTTTAGAAGTTCCAAAACATATGCGCTTGAAATTTTATCGTGTATATTGGGATAATATGAGCGTTAAATAAATGCGCCTCAAAAATAATTCAAGTTAACAAAAAAGATTGTTTTAGAAATCAAATTAATTTGATAGAATCATTTTAATTTTACAGAAAATAGATCTCAATAAATAAATTCATACCAATGCACACTGGAAATCAGTTCGGATCTCTAATTTAGCCATTATTTTATTGAAATTTCTTGGATTTTATTCCAAGGCTAATGGGATTTTCATAATGACAATATTGGGACAGAGGACAGCAGGCAAGAAGAAAACCAAGCGCAATTTCTTAAAATGTCTAATGCTTACTTTTTTTTTTTTGCTTTATTAGAGAGATTTTCCCTTACATTGGATGGAAGCAGAACAGAAAAGCATAATGCAAGATTTTATCCCGAGCACTATTTTCTTTTTACAAGAACAATTATTTTTTTATTTGAGGGTAAACGTGTATTACTACTCTACGGGTGCAACCGATGAATTTTACAAACATTTGGAAAAGTTTTGAATGGTACATTAGACTTTATGAAAAGTTATTCGTGATTTCAACTTTTTTGTCTTAGAACTGTCACCATCCAATGTATTTCGATCAAGATTAGACAGTGTCACCCCATGAAAAAAAGGAAAGAAAATTTTCATGCTGATTGTTCTAATTCCTGGACTAAAGCTGCTTTCAATTATCTCTAATATGATAATTTCAAGTAGCTTTCTTCCATAATACCACTTGCAAGAAATGTTGCATACAATATTTTGAATCTTTAATGTAAACTTGTATGATACATGACGCTCCGTTTATGTGCATCATAGTGATAAAAATTCACATTCAACTGTGTAGGCTAAGAACAATTTTAAACCAACTTGACCAAATTCGGGAACGGTTACTCTCAAGGAAATGATCAAAATGTGTTTTGAAATAAAATTCAGCATGCGACATTTTTATTGCAATACACTCAATTGTGTAACGCGATTTTTTTTTACTACCAAATGTAATGCAACATATTTCAAAACATCACAAAAAAAACCAAGAATAATATGATGGAATTAAAAAATGTGTACCCATCCATCCACGGCAAAATAAAAAATTAAAATAGCGTTAAAACATAATTGAGTGTAATTTGTTTACAATTTAATTACCGATTGTCATAGCCTACTTCGATGCCACGCTTGTACAGTAATGGACAAAATAAATCATACACCCATATAATTTTTCTTTGGAGCTCGATATATCAGGTAGATTCAAACA